TGTTTAGAAAAACAAACAAAAACGAAACAAAACAAAAAAAGAATACTGCTCCTGAGCTGGGCATGGCTGCACATGCCATCCCAGCACTCAGGGGACAGGCAGGCAGACCTCTGTGAGCTCCAGCACAGCCAGGGCTGTCACACAGAAACCCTGTCTCGAAAAACCAAACCAAACAAACGAATAAAAAATAACAACAAACAAAACCCCACTCTTGATTTCCAGCTTTCTAAGCCACTTATGTAGACCTCAGAAGATAGGTTCCATGTTCTCGCCTACCCTTCTGGACGCCAGCTATGACTATGGTGGTGATAATGATTCAGAATATTAAAAGGCCAAGAAAAATGGGAGGACATATTTCCCTGACACTGAAATGTAAAGGCTTCTAGAAGACAATGTAGGAAAATACTGCCTTGGCTTCAGGACTGAGAAAGATTCTTGAATACACAGAAATCACAAGTAAAAGCAGTACACTGTAGAGAAGGAATTAAAGTTTAGAACTGTCCTTTAGAAGATAGAGGATGCAAAAGGCAGGGGACAGATGCTATAAACAATAGAAAGAAAACTGCAAACAGTCAGAAAAAGGTGGTTTGGTTTTTGCTTATTGACAGCATTGAGCCATCACACAAAGGATGTTCGAAAGACATAAACCTGAAGAGGTACCTCCTCAGTGACCAGGGGAATGAAAGTTAGAACCACATCAGACTTCAGTGGTCCCCGCTGGGGGACTGAAGATGTGCTCGAGAGGCGGGAGTGTAAGCCCGCAGCTACTCTAGGAACCCCAACAGTCTGCAGACCGACATGTGCACTCCTGGTGTAGCAAATCCACCCTCAGGTTTCTGTCTGCTGTGCAAGAGAAAAGAGCAACATGTCCAGAACAGCTTTCTCCTAGTGTAAAACGAGAGCAGTGTAAATGTCCACAGTGGAAACACTAACTTGTGACTAGCCTTATAGAAACACACCTAAGAAAACCAAAACCCTCAACAAACCGTGCCACCTGCAGCATAGGCGACTTTCACAAATACTGTGTGAAAGCAGATAAAAAGATAGATGAGTTTATTTGTATGAAACTCAAGACAGAAGGACTTCATAATGTTGAAGAACAGTGCTTGCCTCACTGTGTGGAGGGCAGCCCATTGCCTGTCACCCCAGGGAGGCTCCATGTGACTGGCCAGGAGGCTCCCTTCCTCCCTCACAGCCCTCTGCATCCCTTCAAAGCTGAGACCCATCCCCCTATGATCTTGTCTGGTAGAGGAGGGCTGTCCTTTGGTCAGGGTATATGAGTAGCTATACCCCTGTTACAACCGCCAAATAAATCCTCAGGAGTAGTGTTTACCTTTGGGATAGAGGGGTGCGTAAAAACTTAGATGGAGTTACACAGGAGAGTTGCCCTTCGCTGACCTTGTACACAGCATTTGTATATGGTACATTTCAAAATAACAGTTTTCCCAAGTGCACGTGTGTAAAATGCTTAGCACGGTGCCGCATTTGGTGCACATGTTGAGGTGGCAGCAGCGGCTTTTCGATGTGGTTTTCTTCTCTGTGGCCAGACAGCATTGCCCTGTCCCTGTGGTGTTCCAGTGCTTGTGACTCCGCAGTGATTAACATGGTCTGTATTTGTGCCATCCGTTTGCGTACCCGCCAGATTTCTGGGCCTGTTGAGCCTTTGAATTGCCAGTGTTTTGGTTTTTGTTTTTGTTTTTTTTCTGGGGCTGGAGACTGGACCCAGAGCCTTATTCATGCTAAGCCTTGCTTTGCCAAAATAGTTTTGGCTCCAGTTATTTCTAAATTTTGCTTAATTTTAATTATAATTAAATGGTCACCCAGGATTGAACAGCTACAATATTGAACAATGTAAAGCCAGGCTATATATATATATATATATATATTTTTTTTATGGGAAATTAAGGTTGTTTTGAACAGTCAGAGGGAGAGGTCAGCGTCAGGTGCAATGTCCCTGAGGGCTACTCAGGTAGTAGCAAGCCCTACCTGGAGCAGGAGACTGCCATGTAAGTTCCAGAGCCCTCCAGGAAGTGCAATGGACCTCGCAGGAATGCTTTCTTCCATGTTAGCTCATCTAAGGCTCTTGTGGTGGAGGCCTCTGAAGTGCGACTAAGGAGGACCAGGAAACAGCTGTCCACCTGCTGGGGTTCTGTCTGAAGAGTCCTGAGGTGGCCATAGGATGCAATGAGTGGGAGGAGGCATGATGCAGGGCTGGAGAAGGGTTAGGGCTGGGCAGATTTATGGAGCTGCTTGGGGGAGGGGGATGGGTGGGCTTTGTTTAGAAAAGGAGAGGGAGCTGAGCTGGAAAAATGACGTGAAAACTCGAGGCTGCTCACTGTGTTGTTGGTGTATGGAAGAAATGTTGAGACTGAGCATTTATAGAATCTTTCTCTGTGGGGAAGGGAGGTGGCAGGAAGTGGCAATAGGAAGGTTAGCTCAGCCAGATTTGAACAGTCTTGACTGGTATTAAGAAATAAAGTTGACTTTATTAGTTTAGGGAAGGCCGAGGAAGATTTTTAAAAAGATGTGTTTCTTAGAGTTTGTGCTTAGAAAATAGTTCTCAGGTAATAACAGAGAAGCTTAGGTGTCCAGACCGGAGGTGGACCACATTAGCTAGCGGGGAACTGGGGAAGCTTCCATTCTGTCGGTAGCCGTAGAGATGGTGAACTTAGGGTACCAGCTCCAGGCTGGAGACAGCTCAGCGGAAGTGCCTGCCCAGCGGGCTGAGGCCCTAGCTTCATTCACCTGAACCGGAGGAGAAAAAAGCAAAAGTGATAGTTACATATTTGGAGCCCTTGTGAGGCCTATCTTGGGTTATAGATGATGAACAAACTTAGATTAAGAAACCCAAAAGGAAGCGCAGACAAGCCATTTGGAAGTGGGTTGAGCTATCTCAGCTTGGGTGAGTTACAATTTACACACTGGGCCTGGGGAGTGTGGCTCAGTTGTTGGCATGTGGTCTAGCGCGTGTGAAGCCCTGGACTGGATCCGAAGCACCACATGAAACTGGGGATGATGATGCATATCATTAATTCTAGCGCCCCGGAGGTGGAGGCATCGAGATCAGGAGGTCAATGTCATCCTTAGCTACCTAGAGTTGGAGGACAGCTTGGGCTGTGTGAGACCCTTTGCTAAAAAGAAGATCAACATTGGGCCCTGTGATCCCAGCACTTGGAGGCCAGCCTGGTCTACAAGACGAGTCTAGGACAGACAGGGCTACACAGAAAAACCCTGTCTTGAAAAAAAATCCACATGTTATCCAGTGTACTGATTTAATGTATGTGGTTAATGTTTTTGCATATTCATAGGATTGCTCAACTACCACAGTGGTACAGTCAATTTTAAAATGTTTCCATCACTTTGAGAAGAAATACAGTGCCAGCCAGGTATAGTGGTATGTGCCTATAATGCCAATGGAAGACTGACAGGAGAATTACTTGAGCCCAGGTGTGAGGACTGGGCAAGACAATGGCACCTTTTCTCCAAGCCGCCTCCCTGCCCCTGCTTGCTGGCCTCCAGCCCCTATCCCCCCCCCCCCCCCCCCCCCCCGGGACTGCTGACTTTCTTTCCATCGGGTTTGTCTGTGCGGTTATTTCCTTAGTGACAAGCTTCATGCAGGCAGAGCACTGGGCAGTGTGCTGTGCTCTTCTCTTTACCTTCCCTTCTGGAACAGGCCTTAGAGGCCAGAGCTCCATCCAGCACGCACTCCTGGACTTGGCCATTGAGTCTTTGGACCCGGGGATTGTGTCATTCATCAGTTTCACAAGGCTGCCTAAGCATAAAGCGAAGTTAACCAGTTAGTGCTCTGGCCTGGTGCAGGGGTCCATGATGGACGAGAGGGTGCCTGCCAGGGGCGTCCAGCCCTGGGCCTGCGTGAGCTTCGTGTTGGCTTTAGACTAAGTGTGTAGATGTTGCCTTGTTTGAGAATGGGGGCAGAATTTCTTATCCACTCTGAAACTGAAGAACAGCTAAGTCGTGTGTGTGGAACGAAGATGAAGGAGGTTTATCTGTGTGGTCTCCGGGAAGAAAAGAGTACATCTTTGGCTCCATCGCTTAGTATTTTTAGGGCAAGAGCAGTCCCCCACGTACTGCTCTGTTCATGTGGTAATGTTTTTGTTTTTTTCTCCAGTCTTTTGATGTTCCATTTCAAGGTGTCTTCATAATGAGCCGTGCGAGGGTAATGTGGTCCCGGGGGGTGGCGTGCTCTCTAGCCCCTCTGGGATAGAGAGATATTGACTCCTTGAGAACATTGCCCAGGAGACTTTATTTTGTGTAGCTACCTCCCCCCTTGACTCCTGTGGTCTGAGCAGGACACATGTAACTGTATACAACATGTCAAAAGTTCCCGAAGCAGCCAGCCAGCGTGGTTCCCTGCCCTCTTGCTGTGTTCTGAGAGTCCTATGTATACTTGAGTGCTTTGTGTCAAAATAAGTAAAACTGTCCTGCGTTGCCAACGCCTCACAGCAGTTTAGTGGGAGGAGGCAGCCATAGGTGCAAACAGTCACAGTGTGAAAACGGTGGCACCCGCAGGAGCACAGTGGTCACAGGCGCATCTGGTATCGGGCAGTGTTTGGAGCAAACGTCAGCTGCTGGTTCTGCACTAACAAGCGCAGTACGGAGGCAGCCCGCGAGGAGCACCTGCTGTCCGAGCCACACAACAACCCGGGGCGGCGGCGCCTTCTGATCCCGGGTTAGAGAGCAATTTAAAGCTCAGCAGGCTCGGGGCTGGCTGTTAGACAGAGTCAGCCTCCGTTTGTCCCTCCCCCTGCATCTGTGTCCCCTGTGCAAAGCGTGGAAAGTCTCCGAGCTGGGCACCACTAGGATGTCCTGCCAGCCCTCCTCCTCCAGTTCCTGTTCCGAAACAAAACCAGGCTCTCGGATTCCTCCTGTCTGCCGCCCGCCCCGTGTCCTCTGAGCTCGGGTGTTTCAGGGCTGTGGCAGCAGTGGAGACTGCTGATGTCATTGTTTGCCTCACTGGGGTTTTGCTCTTTGTTTCACAGGGAGCCGTGATTGGGATAGATGACGAGGACGACAGCACCTTCACAATAACAGTTGATCAGAAAACCTTCCACTTCCAGGGTGAGCTGAGAGGAGAGGTCTTCCTTCTTGTGGTCCCACCTGCCTTCCCCTCTCCCAGCTTGTTTGCTGAATGCCTGGAATGGTTTTGCAACTGAGCCCGCATGAAGGAGGGCACAGGAACCTTCTGGATGAAGCGGCCCGCAGGGCAGGCAGGGATCTGTGTCTGCAGTGGACGCACATTAATTGAAGCGACTGTGGATCTGGCCGCAATTGGAGATCAGAAATTTAAAGGATAAAAATCAGTGAAAAGCGAGAGTAATGGGCTGCTGCTGCTGGCTTGTGCTTACAGAAGGTTGCGCACGTTCTTTCTCAAGGCGTGTGGCTGTGCTTCTGCATGAAGAGTCTAAAGACTGGCTGTGAAGGCTGCAGTGTTTGTCCGTGTGGGGCTCAAAATGTAAATTCAACCGAAGCTAGACGCAACCTTCGCATGAAAGGGTTTGCTCTGCTTCAAGAAATCCAAGTTCGCATCCATTCCATCTGCATCTGTGTCTTGTCTGCCAGCTATCATTCCTCTGCTATTATCCTTTCTGTAGTTAATAACTCCAATGCCATCTGCCACTGCTATGTTCCGGCATTGCATGCTATGGCTCGCCGGTAGAAAGGGTAAGGTACTGGCCAATTGTTCTCATTTCATCTTGCTTTGAAAGCTCTAATCCGGCAAATAAAGGCTGATTTTAGTGACCTGGTCCAAATGACCTGTCATCTGCTAGGAGTGCCTGTTAGTTTTGGTACTGGTGTTTTTGCTGTGTTTCCTATCCAGAATAACTTCTGTTTTAGGTTTAAAGCAATCTAGGAAACTTAGAAATGAGACTGCTTGGAGATGTTAGTATGTGTGATCACTGTTTCGGTTGCCAGGTATATCAGGGTGAATGAGTACCCAGTATGGTTACAGTGTTGACATGTTTTGGTTGGGAAGTCTGCTGTTGGCCATCTGTGCTCTGCAGAGGTGTTTAGATCACTGCTGCCCGGCACTAGGACAGTATATCACAGTTGTTTCTCTTCATTGTCTTGTTTAAGAGGTGGCACGTAGAGATGGAAGATGCTGCCTGTGGACAATAAAGACAGGCCAACATACTCAACAGTGGTGTTCTAATTGTCATGTGCTCATCCTTAAACTAATAACTGTGTTTCAGAGTATTTTTTGTTTAGAACTGCTTAAATAATGGTGCTCCCCTGGAAATTTCCACTCCATTTAACTTCAGAAAACCTCTTAATTATATTTAGGTTAAAGATGCAATGCTGCTTAAAGCCAAAGCAGGTACCTGGGGCTCACTGCTCGGATGAAGTTGAGCACTTGACTGCAGTAGGCAGCAGCTGCTGGTTGCAGGGGCCTGCAGCCCAGGGCTCTGCAGTCCTGGGGAGGACCCTCGGGCTCGAGGAGCTTTGTTTGCTTGGTGGAAAGACTGGCTTGGATCTCTGAGCAAAGGCGCTTCTACCTTACCTTAAATTATTTACGTCAGACTGACCTCTTTAGCATTCTTGTATTTAGTGGCTTGCTGGTAAAACAAGACATTATTTGACTGATAAAGATAAATAAGATTTTTAAAATGAGCGAAGCTTCCAGACCATGAGGTTGTTTTTACTAAAGCATTTGTGGGGTGTTACGCAGCATGGGCGCGTACAAAGAGCCTAGACTGTGCATTTATTTAGGTGACTAGGAAAATTACTTCAGACTCAGAGACACTTATTTAGAAGAAGATCTGCAAATTTGATAGAAAACATTTTCAGCGTCTGATAGAGCTTACATTTTATGGTATTTTTTATATTAAATTGCTGATGAGAATTGAAAGCAAATCCAAGTTGCTATGTACTGTCACAACATGTTTGAGTGTTTCCTTTTCCTGTGCTGAGATAGAACTCTGGGTCTACATAGCAAGTTTCAGGCCTTCCTGGGCTACAGAGTGAGACCCTGTTGCAAAAATTAAAAAAAAAAAAAAAATTAAAAAATTATAGTACCAGGAAAGACCCTTAGGACATTTTGATCAGAGGGTGACATGATGAGACTCATATTTTATGGGCTTGCTCTGGCCGCCATGTTGAGAATAAGGTGCAGAGGGCACAGACATAGGAAAGCATTTAGGAGGCTATTGTAGACAAGAAGAGAAGAGTGATAGTTTCCACACTGCACCAGGTGGGGTGGGAGGTAAAAAAAGCGGTCAGCATGTGTGTGTGTGTGTGTGTGTGTGTGTGTGTGTGTGTGTGTGTGTGTGTCTACAGTTAATAGGAAGTCAGACATGCATGAGGGGCTAGGGGCTGAGGGCTCAGTGCATAAAAGCTCCTGCTGTAGAAGTGTGAGGAGTTTGGTCCCTGGGCCCGGTCAAAGGTGGGAGGAGAGACCCAACTCCATAAAGTGTCCTCTGGGCTCCTCACATATGCTGTGGTGTACATGAACTCCCATCATCTGTGCATGCATGTTTCACATACACTGAAACACATGATAATAATAATCAGTGACATTTTAAAAAGATCTTCAGATAAAAACATTTAAGAATGCCTCATATGAGTCAGTGAATTTTGGTCAGTTTATTTACATATAGCTTTCACCACAGTCAACAGATGGTACATTTCTACCACTCCAAAAGATTGCTTCCCTTCCAGATGCCCCTCCTCAGCAATCTGACCTGCGTTCTGGTAGTAGGGGTGGGGGGCCATCACACACATGGGATTATATCGTGTGTATTCTTGTTTTACTCTGAGCTCAGAACAGTGTTTAAAGTCCATCCGTATCGTTGCACGGCTACTTTTCTACTGCTAAGTCACGTTCTGTTCAATGATGCTGAGTTTGTTTTGAAGCTTGAATTGTAGTGTATGAAAGAAAAGCAAGTTCAGGTTGACACTGAGAGTTTTGACTGGTATAAAAATAATGGAGTTGCCATCAACTGAAGTGGATGATTCCAGGAAGAACCAGTTGGGAGGAAAGGAGAACTCAGCGCAGATGTTGAATGTGTACTTTGGATATGGAATTCAGGGGAAAGTTTCAGGTCAGAAAAATAAATATGGGACTCACTGGCATAGGGAATATTTATGGCCTCAAGAGTTTGGGCTAAGAGCAGAAAGAAAACAGTCCAGACACTGAGCTGTAGGCTGCAGCACTTGAGCACGTGCCTCGGAGGCCTCAGGATGAGCCAGATGAAGACAAGGCTGGGGAAAGGAGGCACAAACAGGTGGGGCCTGAAGACGGCTTCGAGGAGGAGAGGGTCAGCCACTGGGCCAGATGCGGCTGGCAGATCTCGGAAGGGGGCTCTGAGAAACGATGTCATAATGGACCTGATCATGAGGCGCTCAGAGAGTGCTTTCAAATTCTACTGAGCAGATAGCAGGAGCAGAAGAAGGGATTTCAAGCTATGGGAGTTTGGGGAGAGTTTAAGTATGTTTAAAGACAAAAGAAACAGCAAAAGCATGCTTTCTGTGTTGACAGCAGAGATTGCATGGAAAAGAGGAGCGGATAATACTTGGAGGGGCCAGGGGTGTCAGATCAGTGGTGGAGCTGAGCCAGTGGGACCTAGGCACAGCTGCAGGCCTTGCTTTTGGCCGGGAGGACGGACAGTTTAGCTGTGGTGAAATTGCTGTAGCTTGTGATAGACCCTGAGACGATCACAGCAGTGGTGATGGGGAGAGCAAAAAGGGATAGATTGGACGTGTGTGACCAGTGTGAGCCGCTGACTGGCCGGAGGGAAATTTAGTGCAAATGGTGTTCGTGGCTTGGTCTGTGATTGAGCGTTTTCATATCAGAAACGACCCAGAGCAGGAGTCTTGAGGAAGTTAGTTTGGAGATGCAGAGATTGTGGGACCCCAGTGTGAGCTCACAGGCAAGTGGAGAGAGTTGGTTATTAGCACACTTTCGTTTAGTAGAACTGGAAGTTGAACGTCCGAATGACCAAGTGGGATTCAAGTAGACAGGCCAGCAGTTCGTGGTATGCAAGCCTGATGACCAGGGTCCAGCTGCTGGAAGGAGACAGCAGACTCCCCACACTGCCTTCTGACCCCTGCCGTGCGCTGTGGCACACGTGCGTGCACGTGCACACACACACCATACACACACGACATGAAATAAAGTGCAATGGTAAAAGCTAGCGGCGTGGCGAGGGGAGCAGCTGGGCTTGCCCAGTCGGTTACGGTTTTTGGTAAGGCTTGCTTTACCAAAGTGGATTCTCCACTTCAAGAGAAGTCAGATGCGGTTTTTCTTAGTCAATGGGAAATGGGTATGTAAGATTTCCAAATTTTAAAACATTTGAAAAAGTGTTGGTCAAATAGTGTGCCTTTGTGAACTGTAATAAAGCCTTTGGATCTCAGTCTTTGATAAAAGTGTGGCAGGAGTATCTGGCGTCTGTCTAGGGGATCACAAGCACAGAACTGATGGTCAAACCCGAGACCATGCTAGGATGGAAAGCCAACAGGCAGAGAAGGTAGGATGGAGGTGTGCGTGTGTGCGTGTGCGTGTGTGCGTGTGTGTGTGTGTGTGTGTGTGTGTGTGTGCGCAGGCGCGCGAGAGTCAGGCTCCTCATTTGAACTTGCTGCTCACACATTGGCTAGGCTGGTGGCCAGGTCATCGAGCCCGGGGGAGCTGCCTGTGTCAGCTTCAATAGTGCTGGAGTTACAGGAACCATGACTTTGATGTGAGTGCTGCAGATGGAGGCCTTTGATGTGAGGCCTCCATGCATGTGCAGCGAGCACTTACCTACTTGAGGCATTTTCCCAGCCCGGGAACTATCATCTGAAATTATGGTTTTTATAGATCAAAAGTAACCTCATATCAGCATTTCATATAGCTCAAACTAACACAAGAGGCTCACCTTAGTGATCAGGAAAAGTCCAGTTGTTTGAATTTTACTTTAAAATAAAGTTGTACCACCCCCCCCCCTTTTTTTTTGTCTTTATTTTGAGACAAGGCTGGCTTCAAAATGAGTGACTCATCTTTCTGCCTGAGCCTCCCAGGTGCTGGGATGGCAGGGTGAGCTACCACTGTCTTACAAAGTTGACGGCTTAATGTATGTAATGAT